ATAAAACTTAAAAAACCTCCCGTTGATACTGTTTTAAAAGTCACGGTTTTCTTGTAATCATCATGAAAATGAGTTGCACACAATTTGGTATCGCCACAACCTTTTTTCTTCTTAATCAACGAATAAACATTAAGTTATATCTTATATGTGCTATTTGTTTATATTCTATTATACTATAAAAAGATGATGGAACTAAAAATACTATACATATAATATTTTATACTCACCTAATATGTAAACCATTGATGGCTTATAATCTAATTTAATCTAAAGGCTCCTGAGATATTCTGGCAGTGGGCCTTTGTGTCCTCACGACTTTTTTTTCCTTTTCACTCCACCAAAAATTGAGATGTTTCGAAGGTGACTAAGGACGACGACCATGCTTGCATTGTTGGAGCTTGAATCGAACAAGGCATATCTTTTGCGAAATAACGGTAATACCACAATCCATCGAAAAAATGGTAATATCACAATGTTTCTGTATCGCCAAAGCCTGCATGTCACATTGTTACACTTTGAGAATATTTGGATGTGGAGCTAGTCTTGCCTGACCTTGCTCAGCCAGGCAAGCCTAATCTTGCCCATTAAGGAGAGCCAATTTGGCTAGCTTATTGCTTGAGCAAGAAAAAACCGACCTGCACAGAAATCAAGGGAGAAAAAACTCATCACATTTTTTCAGTTCCTAGCTGGACTTGGTTAGGGAACAAACGTGCCCAATATAAAGTGCCCAAAGTCAGCTTACCACAGTTCCGTGTTTCCATTGTCCATCGTTGGGAACTTTTGTTTCCAATTTTCAACAAGTGCAACAAGTATGACTGTAGGAGGCAAAAGTTTTGTGCGAATCCTAGATACCATAAAATAAGCTAAGAGTACCAATTTGGCGTGTGATCTCAATCCTCACGTCTTTCCAACGATGGTTGACCTGCCTTTCCACTTGCCACGTTATAAAACACAACTCCCACTTATAATCATGCACCCACCACATTAATTACTTGCATAATTTTTTTTGAGAAGGACGCAGTTATAGCGCGACGGGTCGCGTACAGGGATACTCCTATACTGATTCCACTGTAGGAAATAATCATGAACGCACAAGGCACGATGACCTTGTGCTTCCCTCCTCTCGTCTAGCTCGTCTGGAGTCTGGACGCGTCCGGCCCTCGAGTTTCCACGCCATTTTTGTGTGCTTTTCGGTTTCTGGACTGCCTACAGTGAAATAATCATGAACGCACAAGTTCGGTTTGACATGGATGGACGCCTCTGTTTGACGCGGAGCAGTGAGAACGTCTAGAATCCAGCGGTAAGGTCAGTTTTGATTTTTTTTATTTTGTTGGTTCATAAAAAGATAGATTATGTACTCCGTTATGAATATGTATAAACAAAATCGTAATTCGGGAGCAAATTGGTTGCAGAGTATATTAAGCTGGAACTCGATTGTTCGCGGTATTCGGTGCGTTCAACACGGCCGACGACGCATGGTTTTGGTCTGACCACAACCTCCACAATTGTGCGTCCAGATTGGTGGTTGCGGTGCCACTGTGAACGTGATTAATTACCCGTGGTGGTCACTGTATACTTAGGGCCTGTTTGGTTGATAAAAATAATTTTAGTCCCTAAAATGCGACATGGACTAAATATTGGACTCCTCTAGTCCATGAGAGGGTGACTGCTTGTGCTTCCTCCTCTCGTCTCCCAGCTCGTCTGGAGTCTGGACGCGTCCGGCCCCCCACGCCGCCACAGCCGCCACCGAGTTTCCACGCCATTTTGGATAGCCACGGAACGCCACACGTGCTTTTCGGTTTCTGGACCGAAAGGCAGCTCCGCCGTCGTGCCTACAGTGAGCTAGCACATACGAGAGGTGCATCTGCAAGTTCATCTGCAGGAGCAAGTTCGCCTCTGTTTGACGGCACGGATGGATGGACGCCTCTGTTTGACGCGGAGCAGTGAGAACGTCTAGAATCCAGCGGTAAGGTCAGTTTTTGATTTTTATTTTTATTTTTGTTGGTTCATAAAAAAGATAGATTATGTACTCCGTTATGAATATGTATAAACAAAACGGAGGAGAATTCGGGAGCAAATTGGTTGCGAGTATATTAAGCTGGAACTCGATTGTTCGCGGTATTCGGTGCGTTCACACACGGCCGACGACGCATGGTTGGCCACCACAAATTGGTCTGACCACAACCTCCACAATTGTGCGTCCAGATTGGTGGTTGCGGTGCCACTGTGAATGTGATTAATTAGCCGTGGTGGTCGCTGTATACTTAGGCTAGCCTTATCAAGATCAGGGGCGGACAAAGAGACGGCAGAAGGAGGAGAACAAAAAGGATATAGCAAGATGTCTAGATTTGGCTGTGGGCGTTAAATAGATTGATGTGACAATGTATTGATAATAAAAATAAAGATAGGTTTGTATAAGAAATATTAGAACTTAATCTACATTTTATAACCTGAACTGAAATGCTGGTTGCACTAGAGCTTGAACTTTTTGCAATATTTTCATGTGGTTGGTCAATTTTCATGTGGTTGGCTAATTTACATTAAACTCATGTGGTTGGTAATGATCAAGAAGTAGTAGACTATATCTTGAAGTGCCGTAAAGAAAAGGAGAAGAATTGCTATTCTTGCTAGTGCCATGATTGGTATGTACCACGCGCCCATGCGTACTCAACTTCGAGACACCAGTGCATGCGCCCCTGCATACTCACTTCGACATGCATTAGAGACATAAGGAAGTTTGACAGCCATACTGTCCTGACGGTCACGCAAATCAAAAAATGTGCATCCTAGGTAAATATTTTCTTTGGATTGCTATAATTTTTTACCAATGGTATATCCGTTTATACAAGTTTAATTGATGGCCATATGTGACTTCGATATGAGATTTACTTTTGTCGTATGGCGGGATGGCTGGCTTAGTTCATGATATGAGGGTGTTCAAAGATGCAATTGAGAAATATGGAGACAAGTTTCCACATCCACCTCGTGTATTGACATGTTCTATTCTCATTCTTCTTCTCTCATTTTTTTTTTCAATACTTTACATGTCTTACATTAAAAAATATTGAATGTGTAGGCAAGTTCTATCTTATCGAAAACCGACGTGGGTTATCTTGCACCCTACAAGGGTACAAAACCCTTATCGACAAAGCATAAAAAGAGCACTTTAATGTTTCAAAAAATTTTTTTGTAGCAATTTATGTGTAGTACTAGCCTAAAGTTGTTACTTCTATAATACTAAAGTTGATACGTAGCAGCCATTTATGTGTAGTACTATCCTCAAACCATGAACCGATAGTGTTGTTTAGTAGATCTACATGATGAGATGAATAAAATTAGACCCCACTTGCATATGTTTTTGGGGTGAATTTTTTTTTTTTTAAACGTGGTAGCAGCGCGGCAGCGCGTGTAATACTACCCTAAAGTTGCTACTCTATAATACTAAAGTTGCTACGTAGCAATTTATGTGTAGTAGACTAAACTTTAAATCCATTCTCTAAAGAACCAAATGGCACCCTAGGCAAGTCGTTTTATAGGCATTAAATAGGTTGTCTTAAGTCAAATATTTTAAAATTTGACTACAAATAACTTCTTTTGGTTGAGTTTGAAAATATGAAAGTGATGTAAGTAGATTCATCTCACTTCGAATGCAAGCATACACAGCCATAGTTTCATAAAAAGTATATATTTACTATATTTTTTATAAATATTTTATAGCAAAAGTTTTACCAGTAGTCAAAGTCGCTTTTTTCAAAGACCGTATGTAGTACTAGCCTAAAAGTTGCTACTCTATAATACTAAAGTTGATAATGTTTTATATGTAGTACTACCTAAAATGTGACACTTGCTTTAGAGAACCGGAGGGAGTACTACCCTAAAGTTGCTACTCTATAATACTAAAGTTGCTACTCTAAAAATATACTAAAGTTGTTACATTATATGCGCAAGCTCGGGGGCAAAATATCAAAAAGACTTACTAACGTGTAATACTAAAGTTGCTACCATGTAATACTATAGTTATACAACCTAAGGGGCAAATTATTAAAATACACATAAAATAAGCTGCCACTAAGGGCCAAGTTATTATACAACCCAATCTGCGACCCTTAATCCTAATACTTATTGCGATCCCTAATCCTAACCCAATTTGCCATGTATGTGTATGTGCTTTTCTTTTGTGGCAACTTTGTGTACAATGGCTACTTTTTTGTGACAACTTATACATTATAGGTGAGGCAACTAATATACAGGATTTCGGAAGGCATTCCCTAAAGGGGTGACTGAAACTAATAAACATAAAAAAATTGATTGAAAATTGAAAAAAACACCTAAAAAAAACTTAAAACTAAAAATAAAAAAACATTGAAAAAACTCAAATAACTAAAACTAAAAGAAACAATGAAAAAAGCAGAAAAAAAGAAACTCAAACCTCAAAAACTGAAAAAAAAAAAAAGAAAAAGAATAAATTGCCGCAAAAGAAAGAAAAAAAGAAAAAAAAAGTAGCGCATGGCGTGGCCAATCCGTGGATGGACGCTCGCTCCCCGATGGGCCAGGCCTCATGGCGCGTACCAGGCCGGAGGGTCGCTCGCTCCCCAGGAAGCGCTACCCCGCGCACAATAAACTTTCCGTTTTAAGAAGGGAAATCGGACAAGCAAAGCAAATCCGACTTAAATTTCGGCCGGCCCGTGTTCATCCATCCGTCTTTCATCATGGACTGGGCTTATATATAGTGCTAAATGGGACAGGCTTCAAAAGCTAGCAGCCCATTAACATCCATAGACACTTTACCGCCCCAGACCGTTACAACGGTCGGCCCATTCATTCACTCACGGGCCCATGAAAATGGATGGCAACCGCGACGTCCCAAGCGGGGCCCCACGGCGCCGCAACAAAACCGCAAAACCCCAAACTCCCAAAGCAAGAGAAAGGGAGCCCATTCTTCCCCCCTACGCTGCCGTGTACACACGCCGCTCCTCGCCTGTCGCCTCCCCCCCTGCACCATGGACGCCGGCGAGTGCTCCACCTCCACCAAACCCCCGCAGCCCTCGGCCGCCTCCACCCCGCCGTCCCCCTCCGTGTGGGCCAGGCTAGGTAGGGCAGCCGCCCCCTCCCCTCCTCGGTTCTCGACGGGTTCCTTCATCTGCACGGCTTCTTGATTCTTTTTTCCTCTGTGTGGTTGTCCCATTCCTTTCCTTGGCAGTGCCCGCCGATTCCGCATGCCCGGTGGTGGAGGTGGCCGAGGACGACTCCGTGGTCTGCTCCCTCGTCGCGCCGGCCTGCGGCGGCGGGGAGGGGGAGGAGGTCGCGTGGTGCGAGATCAAGCGCAATGCCGGGGACGCGTCGTCCGCCACGATTCGGAACCTCAGGTGCTCGGATTTGCGTCGATGCCTTTTTCGTGTTCTTGCGGATTCTCTGACTCTGGTGCCGTGTCGTGTAAGACTCCGCTTGCTGTTTCACTGCGTGTCAGAAAAGGGCAACTGATGGCGACGTCTTTTTTCAGAAAAACTGACGGGGACTTTGTGTGAGCTCTGTTCATCGCCTCATCAGTTGTTACAAGAGTTTGTGGTGTGTTCCGCTGATGTTGTATGACCATATCCGCGGGTATTACAACTTAATTGGTTGTCACGGCTCCAATGTTGGAATGGATGTGTTACCTTTACCTTTAGTGCTTGCCTGCATACCTCGAATGTTCTCCGGTGTGGTCCCTTCGAAGCAGTAGAATGGTAGTGACCTTTTTGTCGACTTGAAGGTGCCCACAACTTTTAGTATCCTCGATTTGTTCCAGATTGGGTTTATCTGTTTTCCTAGATTGCTGTGGTCTAAAAGTTCTTGAGAATGCTCATTATTTGGACAGAGTCAGGCAAGTTGCAGTTTTGGTGCAGCGGGATTCACCTCCATTTCATATAAATCATAGATGTCAATTTGTAACAGTTTGTCTATACATTTGGCTTGTCTAGTTGTGTAAAATCAAGAATGGAAATGCATATTGCAAACTCACATGGACTTGGGGACCAGCCTGTTAATTCTTGGCACTCTCTTTAAGTTATTTGAAGACTGGAAAATATATGTCTTACCAAAAGAAAAAGTGTTTTTATCTTTATGTAATCTCTTGGTTCACGAAATTAACTGTTTTTCTCTTTGTTGTGCCTCATAATTTTGTTGTAAGCTATTTTTTCTATTATTTGTTTTTGTTGAATTCCTGCTGATGTTTTACATGCTTCTCATGTCTTCCCTGTTCCATTGATAAAGCTCGGATGCAATTATTGTTGATGGAATAATTGTCAAACAAGAATGTGTAGGCATCAAACCAGGCAGTGAGATTGTCTCTGGACCCCAGAAAGAAGGTATGCTTATTTTCAGGACCTTGACAGCAACTCTTTATCCTGAAAAAGAATGTACTACCCTTGTGTCTTTGGGAAGCCTTGAACTGCTTTCACTTGTTATGCATATTCATATATCAATGATATTAACAGTATAAAGGTGTTTTCTTGGTACGGTGAACAATTTCAAAATTCTTTTTTTTTGCGCCTCTCTAATTCTTAACATTTGAAATGAATGTCTGTAACACATTCATGTGCTTCATTATTTTTCCAGGGCATTTAATATATACCTTTGAAATTACAGAGGAAGAGGATCATGAAAAAAAGAATGTCAAGGTATTATTCTGGAAATTAGTAGTCATGTACAAAGATCATCTTCGCATACTATTTTTCCCTGGGCATGTGTGTGTTGTATTCACGTAGCTCTCCTACAGCCATGTTGGAGAAAAAAAAAAATACTAACTTCTAGCTGAATAATGGTGTCAGATTGTTCTAGATATCGAGAATGCAAAATGCAGCATATGCCTGAATTTGTGGCATGATGTTGTTACTGTTGCTCCATGCCTGCACAACTTCTGGTAAATTTGTTAGTATTACTTGCTTCTGTTGGCTTCTCTGAAAGTCTTGGATCTGATCCTTCATTTTTTTTAAGCAATGGATGTTTCTCAGAGTGGTTAAGAAGGTCTTCATCTAATTCACGTGATAAAAGCCAGAGCGCTGCATGCCCACAATGTAGGACAGCAGTTCAATCAGTTGGAAGGAATCACTTCCTGCATAATATTGAAGAGGCATGATATCGCTGCTAATGACTTTGTTCATTAATATGTTCCTAAAACTACTATGAACTGCTAAATTTATTTGTTTCTATGCCTTTTGTAGGCTATATTGCAATCTTTTTCCTCACTACAGAGGTCTGATGAGGAGATTGCATTGTTAGAGTCGTATGCTTCAGTTAAATCGAATATTGTGAGTGAAGCAGTTGTAAATTAATATTTTTCTTTGAGTAAGTTCATATAAGAAAAGACCTGCAGGGTGCAAGCTTTACTTTCATTCCATGCATGCATATTTTCATCATAATCTTCTGAAGTTAGCCAGTCACAGAAAAATTTCTTACTGAACCAAAGTTACCAATTTGTGACAATTGTTAGGTACTCAGGTGCTCAACATACCGAATTTATGGATGTTTGATACTATAGTATTCTGTTCTGCAACTATATATTTCTGTTATTTATATCTTCTGGCCCCAATATACTTAATTTTGTCTGATGTGTTGTTTGATGGCTTAGGTTTTGGGTAAACAGAAAAATCAATCAAGGAAACGACGTTTTTCACGTTCTACTAGTGATGAGATCAACATTCCGGATTTACCATGTCCTCAGTGCCGTAAGTGCGGAAATTCCACTATGAATATTGTAGTTCAGTTAAATAAGACTTAATATCCAGTGATATTGAATTCTGTTGGTGATCTGTAATAAGAATATTGTTCTAGTCAGTGAGCTGTACGTCAAGACTATGTCATGATTTTTTTTTATCATAGGCTTATGGAACCTCTTTAACCCATGAATCATATATTTGTTCTTTATATGTATTAGTTTAATGAAAAATGGGTTGAAGAGCTGGTTGGTAACTTGGCACAAGTTTTTTAGAAGTTAATTTTTTTTATTATAAAAAAATTCACAATGAATTGTGTGATGATTCAATCATGCTATGCTTTACACACTGTTCGCCTAAACGGCTGTTTAGCCCGTTTACACACCGTTTAAACGCTACACGGTGGTACACCGTTTCCGTTTAATCGGTTGTTTTAACCGTTTAAACGGCCGTTTTCCTGTTTAAACACCCGTTTTGCCCGAATAATGGGCTAAACAGTAGGTGACCGACCGTTTACCGTTTAGCGTTTAGGATAACACTGGCTTTACATGAGTTGAAGTTAACTACCACACTGATGTGGTACTTTAGGTAGCTTTTGTGTTCTACAAAAGTAGGGAAACTAGTTGGTAACTTGGCACAAGACTTTTAGAGGTTATAAATATTTCACAATGTTCGAGTTGTGTTGTGATGCAATCATGCTATGTTTCACATGAGTTTATAATTAGTTAACTATTCTTGCACTGATGTGGTGATTGAGGTAGCTTTTATCTCTTCATAAAAACAGGGAAAATGTACCTTCTGATCTCATAGTATTGTAATGTCACTGGTTGAGAATTAGATTTAGCCTTGTCTAAATGCTTCCAAAGCCTTGTTTTTTATGCACCTGAATGACAAGAATATTGCAGGTAATGAATTTGGTGGCTTTAGATGCAGTCCAGGAGCTGTGCACTCGCAATGCAATGGATGTGGAGGAATGATGCCAGCCAGATCTAACATAAGTATACCACAAAAATGTGAGTGCCTATTCTGATAATACATTTCTTCTCTAGTAGATTGCAATAAGTTATAACCCCAAAGTTTTTCATTTAATGGATTGTATAACCCTGAAAAGGCCTTTCTTGCATGGGCCTTGACCCTTGCATCCTAATCCGTTTAACAAGGAAGTGGTGCCATGATTAGGAAATGGAATTTAATGCTTTGTATTGTTCTTGGCTGTACTTATTTTTTGCCTTTTATTATTCTTGACCTGATGAATATGCTTGACATAGGTTGGCTAACTAAATTTATTTTTGTTTCATAAAGCTGCACAAATGGTATGAGGAACATTTCCATTTGCCCCTCAGAAATTTTGAACTTAGCTATCTTTATGGGAAATTTGATTGCACCTTTTCCCAGCCGAAGTTTGATGATACTGTTCATGCCTGAATAGTATGAGAAATATTCTCATTTGCCCCTCAGAAATTTCTGAGTTGGCAACCACCACTGGAAGTTCAATTGCATGTTTTCCCTACCAAACTCTATGATAATATTTATGTGCCTTGAATTCTAACTTTGCTGGTGCCAAACTAACCAATTGTATTCACAGGCTTGGGGTGTGATAAAGCGTTTTGTGGGGCTTATTGGTGTTCACAAGGTGTGAATTCAAGTCATTGCAATCTAATCTGCAACCAGGATACTTTCAAGAGCGTAAGCTACTCATTGATATTTGTTAAGACGCATTATACTTTTGATCATCATACGCCAAATTTGGCATGTGTTAGAGTAATACGTCAGGGGCCTATTGGGCTGTCACTTGGCATGTCCCATTAGTGTTAATTAATTAGAGATAAGAATATTGTTTAAGGGTCAAGTGAGCCTTGCTTGGGAGTCAAGTAAACCTCTCTATATATGAGAAGATGTTTTCTAATCAAGCAAGAATTATGAAGAAACCTTTCCTCTTGCCCGCCGTATTTGTTCTTTATATGTATCTCTTTACCCTGAAAAATGCCATGAACAGTACCCGTTGGTACTGTAGCGCACAAGTTCGTCGCCCTAATTCTCCTCTCAATCCTCCACCCACACAATGATCTGTATGTGATGATCTCAATCATGCTATCGCTGCTTTACATGAGTTGAAGCCACCCACGCCACACTGATGGTTGGTAACTTGGCACAAGACGTTTTAGAGGTTATAAATATTTCACCATGTTCGATTCGCGAGACCTGTTGTCGATGCAATCATGCTATGTCCTCACCATTGGCGTCATGTTTAATAATTAGTTAACTATTCTTGCACTGGCGGCAAGATGGTGGCGGGTAGCTTCATCGTCTTCCTTTTGGGACCGCAGGAAAAATGATCCCTCCACCGCCTCATAGTATTGTAATGTCACTGGTTGAGAATTGCCGGTTTAGCCCCATCTACATGCTTCCAAAGCCTTGTTTTTTCCCCACCACATGAATGACAAGAATATTGCAGGTAATGAATTTGGTGGCTTTAGATGCAGTCCAGGAGCTGTGCACTCTCGCGCAATGCAATGGATGTGGAGGAATGATGCCAGCCAGATCTAACATAGACCCCGCCCGATTACCACAAAAATGTGAGTGACCTCGATCTGATAATACATTTCTTCTCTAGATCTCGAGCATAAGTTTTAACCCCAAAGTTTTTCATTTTTCCCTGGATTGTATAACCCTCCACCTCGTTCTCCATCTTGCCCTCCGCTCTTGACCCTTGCATCCCAGCAATTCGTTTAACAAGGAAGGTGTGGGGTCACCAATTAGGAAATGGAATTTAATGCTTTGTATTGTTCTTGGCTGTACTTATTTTTTGCCTTTACATGCACCCCTTCTTGACCTGATGAATCCATGGGATCCGTGGAGGTTGGCTGTCTAAATTTATTTTTGTTTAAAAATAAAGCTCCACTAATGGTATTCAGTTGAGAATAATAAAATTTGCCAAGATGTAAAAATTTGTTTTTAGGTGTTAGCTCGATCTTTTATAAATTTGATTGCACCTTTTGAGCCATGTCCGGTTTGGGTGTACTGTTCATGCATGAATAGTATTGAGAAATATAGCCCATTAGTGTTAGAAATTTCTGAGATAAAAAGGTCACCACTTAAAGGTCAATTAAGTCTTGCTTACCAAACTCAATAAACCTCTCTATATAAGGAGAATTCTAACGATCTAATCAAGCAAAATTAACCAATTGTCTTCACAGGCTTGGGGTGTGCAAAAGCGCTTTTGTGGGGCTCTCTCTCACCCTCACAGGTGTAATTCAAGTGAACAGTACCCGCTAATCTGTAACCAGGATACTTTCAAGCGCGTAAGCCGCTCATTGATATTTGCCTCTTATACTTTTGATCATCCACCCACATAACACGATGTTCTGAATGCAAATGTCTAATATTGCAGATCTCTCAGCGACATATCTCTGCACTTCCTGACACAGTTCATGGGGGCAATCCATATGAAAAAGATGTAGGAATATTCCAGCATTATCATATCCCTGGCCTGTATTGTAGTTTCAAATATTATGGTTTCTTCTCTTTTGTTTTCTAGATTACAGAAAGATGCATACAGCAATCAGGCAAAACATTACAAGCTGTAATCTCAGAGTGGATATCAAAATTTGACAACATGGAAATTGGTATGCAACCTTCAGACTTAATTTTACTTTTGATGTGCATGTGATGGACTAATAAGAGTGAAAGAATATGTATTATAAACATTAACTGTTCCTTGACATGAACCACATGACAAAAGAATATTCCTTTGTAATTTGCCTGCTCTGCTCAGAACAGGAACTGGATTTCTTTTTCATTGACTGAACTGTTAATATTTGTGATCTCCAGCTCCCAACATTACGTAATGTTCTCATTTTTTGGCGTTTTCTGATTAAACATCAACAAAAAAAAAATCATAAAACTAGTATCTATTGACTGTATATGATTCATCCCTTCATGGGTTGTTGTATCAGATTTTTTTTTTTTTAGTTTTGCGTAACTTTAAGGTTTATAACTTTATACGCATGTAACTGTTCACTTGTTCAGTTTCATTATTCAAGTTCTGCTGTGTTAACTTGTTCAGTTAATTTTATTCACATTATGAAAATGAAACTCTTGTAAGTATTTGGCACAAGGTTTACTTACTGGGCTTTACTTGTACATCCTGTGTCTTATTACAGATGCCTGAGCTTTTGCACTGACATGGTGTTCTTGTTTTGATTATGTAGATCGCTCAAGGTTGCAATTGAATAATGTGAATGCAATTACTTCCAGGACATATATTTGCAAGTAATAACTTTTTCTCAGTTCAGAAGATTGTTGTCTACTAAATTATGTTGTATTGACTCATTTTATGAATTCAAATGAATGCAGCCATTGCTACAGCAAGTTCATTGATTTCCTGCTCTACTGGTTCCGCGCATCAATGCCCCGAAATGTATGTATACTGAACATACTTATGTTAATTACCTCGGTAGTCTTGCAACAGATGTTTATATGTTAATTGATTTGTTACTAGACCTGTTCATATTCTGGGGTTGGGCCTTAAAAGGTGTGCCACTGGAATGGCAAAACCAAATCCTCCTGACATGGGCTGAGCCTAAATATTATCTTTAAATGAAATATATGCACAAAAGTATATGAAAAACACTACCGTTTTCCCTGTCAGAACTCAGAAACCTATGAATAGGTCTGGCGGACGTACCTAATTTCTGCAAATGGCTACTATATATTAAGTCAAGGCAAGGTCCATGTCGTTCATTGCACAACTGGTAGTTTGTTGTCATTAGTGTAGGCTTCCTGCTTCCCAAGTTCAGTGTAAGTTTGGCCTCCCTAAGAGCTTTGGATACTGTTAATACTTACATCGTAGGCAACTGTTTAATGCATATACCAAGAAAAAAACAAGAATGCCTACCAAATCACATGAAAACAAATTTTCAATAGCCCCAAAAATGAAACAGTGATCATTCATGTGATTTGCAATCTATTTTATGACAACTATTCCATGGATACTAATACAGTTGATTCTCTGATTTTTCATGTCATTTCTAATGTGTTTCTTTTGATCTGCACATGAAGTAGTATCATGTTCCATGCATAAATGCCCTTAGTTGGGTTACACATTAGTATATGGGGGATCTGGATCGGGTGGTTAGTTGAGCAACAAATTTCAGAAACATAACTGGGTTTTTAAACTATTTTTCTTACATTCCTGTGCTCCTAGAGATTATTGTTAAATTTTGTGTTTAAATGCTTGAGCTGTCAAACTCAACATGGTTCTGAATTATCCACGGATTGATACTGAGTTAAGAGTTTGGTTTAACTTAACAGTTGTACATATCGATGTATGAGTTTCTTTCATGTTAAATCCTTGACTATTTGAGCTGGCCAAGAAAAGGCCAGTCTGCCTAACTATTATTGCTTTCAAATACCCTGAGTATAATAACAAATGTTTCTTATAAGAAACAAGATGCTGAAGACTTTGTGCTCGTTATTTATATAAGTAGGTCCCAGTCTCCTCCATGAAAAAATAAAGTTAGCTTTCATTTTAAGCCGAATCTTATCTTGAGCATACAATAGACACATCAAACACAAACATAAATATATAAACATCCTGATGAAGCGCCACAGCACTGCCTCATTTATTTATTTGATTTGATCCCATTGGTCCGCTAGCTAATGGCAATTGTGATGTTCTGTTATTGCAGCTTCTTCCGCCTGACGCCGCCGACAGGGAGAGCTGCTGGTACGGTTTCATGTGCCGCACCCAGCACCATCGGCCTGACCACGCCAAGAAGCTCAACCACGTCTGTCGCCCGACGAGAGGCAACCCCTAGTTCCGGCAGCCCATCTCCTCCGGGCGATTTTCCAAAGAATGTACAGTGATTCTGTAGCGTAGAAGTAGAACGACATGGCTGAGCCTAAACACATGTAACTATGTCACGTGAGTCTAATTCTCTCAATAGGGCATGTTCGCTTGAACTTATCAGCCGGCTTATCAGCTAGAATGTACATTATTTTTCTCTTACAACAAAACAGCTTCAGCCGGCTTTAATACCCGCCGAACAGGCCATTGTCATTAAACATTACCATCCATTGTGTGTGATGTTGAGCGTTCAAAATGGTTAGGAAATGTGGCAGCGTCCATGTTGAAAGTTGAAACCCTTTTGACTTGATCCTGGCTGGACCTGACAAGGAAATTACTTATATTGCTGCTGCTGGTGCTGCCGGAACCGCCGCTCTGTCGGTAGGTCGGGGGATCGTTGAAGTGAATTGAATGGATCCCAGGGCTTCACACGCTTCGGACGGCGTTCTGGTGAGGTGGTGCCCATGGCGAAGATGCAGAAAATGGTGATGGGCTGATGCCTGAGCCTGACCCCTGACGGCGATGCGTGTATATCTGCAGGCCTCAACGCGTCTCCCCATCGCTGTCGGAGACTCATTGCATGCAGCAAAGTCTCTGCACAGAATTTTGTTAGCAAGTCCTTGTCAGGCGACTGTCCTGCGTGAACATGCTTGGTTCGCAAAACAGCCTTCAGTCTGAAAACGCAAGCAGCCGAAATCATCGTCTTTTGCAAATTCGTGGACATGCTATACCAAGAAAGAATCCGCTTTAAGCCCTGCTTGGAACACGGGAGATTTTTTGTAGGAACTGCGAGAAGCAACCTGTCCAATGGATTCCAACAGAGAATAGGGGAATCTGGGGGTGCTGGAAAAGAATCCACCCTTTTCTTGCCTCTTTCTCCAAATTTGATGGATGGATGTACTATCACTATGAGCTGCTGCAGTAGCTCTGAGAAAAGCAGACGACGCCATACACGAAATTCAGAGGCTTTTTCCATGGCCGCAGCAGGAAAAAGGCTCCGGAAAACCTGCCTGCAGCACGAAAGGGGTAAAAATAAAAGGGGAGCGTTATATCCGTGACAAGGCAGCCAAATTTACCGGAGCACAGTGACCGGACCGACCGGCCAGGAGGGTTGCCAATGGCTTGCTCGAGCGTGTCGCAGCACGCCTGCGCCCGGCCGGCCGTCTGCTCTGCTGCCTCGCCTTTCTCACTGCAACACCCATTGGTTCGCAGAACGCCACTCCTCCTTGCTCGGAGTCGGATCGGAGGACCAGCTGATGCTGCGACCGACGACTACTTCACATCACACATCAGTCCAGTCATGCATCACTGCCAGTCTTTTTTTCTTCTTTTCGTATACGTACTTAATACGTATATTGTTATATAATTTTGGTTAAACTTCAAGTCACTTGACTCATCGAAAAACAAGAGTTACGTTCTTTTGTCGACGGAGGGAGTACGATCTTATCACTGGAGTTGTAATCAGGCTCCCCATATTAACAACTTAGCAAAGGAACTATCATCCATTATTGGAGGTATCAAAGTTGTGGAACATTGATGATGTTCCTTGAGCAGTAGTTTTCGATTGTGCTGTCGTGGGCGACAGGAACAGGCAGATGGGAGCCGAGCCGAGAGTCGCACGCCGTTGGATGTGCTTTGAGATTTACGCCGCGGATGGATTAGGGCAGCTGACACGATGGGCACGCAACACGGCAGGAACAGACAAAAACTAAAATATCGTCTGCCGTGATTAATAAAATATCTATCGTCTGCCAACAAATCATGGTAGATAATGACGTTTCCGTTTTGTGTTAATTTTTGGCTCCATGATAGTGCCCTCCTTGTCCATCTTTATTTATATTTTTATTCATTTTTTCCTCTTTTGTTGTCCTTGTAGCATGCGTACGGATTCCTATACCTAATTGCGACATCACGCATTAGTGACCAAATTATCATTATGCACTTGCACATATATACTATGTGTTAAATATGTATCAACCTCTCAAATTAACCTCTCTCTCTCTCTCTCTCTCTCTCTCTCGATCGACCTCGATCGACCTCAAGTAAGTACATATGATCACTCCTTAATAAAAACAAAGTTCTTTGTGTCACTCCTCAAAACTCTTAGATTGCGTTTGGTTTGGATTAAAGCTTTGTCATGACAAAGCATAAACTAGTACGAATATGACAAAGTTGTGTCAATTAATCCATGATATTGGATATGTAATATATATACTCCGTACGTGCAAACAAATTAAAACCGGGGTGATCGATCCATCAATCAAATTATATATAAAGAAGAAAAGCACGTACGCACACAACCGTACCATTACTACTCAACTTGCCACTAACAATGACACCACTCTTGGAAGCACTGGTCGAGAGTCCAAAGCATATGTGTAAAGAATTAATAATGCAGCGAATCTTCTGACGGTAGGTTTTGGCTATATATCTTAATTTCATCAGGGTTCTAATATTCCATGGAAACACCTAACTAGTAGCCCAACCGTTCGATCGACAGAACATGTATTTAAAAAAAAAGTACACTTCTTTTTTCACACAAATCTTCAACCTTGGCATTATCGGAAAAGGTTGGATAGTTTAAAATGGTTTTTAGCACCTTAATTTATTTTAGCTTTTTAGCGGATCGGAACATTACTTGTTACAACCACTATGTGACAAAATTAAATACATATTACAAATTAGCTAGCCTATATATAGGTGATGGTGATGATTAGCACAACTTATATATATATATATATATATATCCCTCAATCCCTCGTTCCATTTCAACAAAGTATGTATAAATAAGCAAGCTCTACTAAGGACAAAACCTACGCTAAATGGCAACGCCTACACTACTGTTGCTGGAAAGACTTCTGTCACTTTTGTCGCCCAAGCCAATTATTCAACATTCTCGTGGAAGTGTAAGCGTTCTAGTCAAAATTTTTCATTTCTTCTAGTTGGAAGATTTGAATTGGGCTGATTTTGTACTAGATTTTCTATTACAAGTGCAATACTTGTAGCTAAAATATATGAAACTTTGAATATAAAAGTTTTTTTAACAGAAAGATCGATTAGGATAGAAGCATGGGGATATATAATAATAGAGTTAAACTTTCGCCTCGAAGCCAAAAACCCTTTTACTTTCCTGAACACCGTCAGGAATACTGGCATATCATGTAAGACTCGTATTGGACATCTATACTGCCCGTAAGTTCAAGTACAGATGAGACTCCCGAGATTTCTCGGAACGCGTCTACCGAACACACGCGGGCACACACTACTCGCTCGGCTCCCTCTGGGGAAAATCCCCAGTGTAGCACCCGGTTCGATCCCGGACTGGGAATCGAATGCGGGCGGGTGTGTCCACGACGGGAGGCGCCACCACCGCGTTAAGCACGTGTCCGCAACCCTTCTAATTTTGAAAGCATCCCATATGAAGTGGATATATATAGTTTATTACTCTATCCATTCCAAATTATAAGATATTTTAGTTTTTTTTCTAAAATACATTGCTTTAACTATGCATCTAAACATACTAAGAACATAGAAAACTATGTATCTAAAAAAGGCAAATGTCTTATAATTTAGAAAAAAAGGAGTAACATTTAATTTAACACTATAACATGGCGCCTCCATGCACTCAAGCTGAACCCAAAAACGAATCAATGGCAACATTGGTCACAAACTTAGCGCACAATCCCCTCCTTTAAATAAACCCCGTTGTATACAGTTTATATAAAGCAAAAAAAAAAAAAGCTTACCCAAGGACTTGACACCATTAAATTGTAGCATAACTAAAACACTAACCGCTTTGAACGATATATACTAGTCTAAAGTACTGCAAGTGCTCATGATTAACACCTCATCTGCGTCAGCTGTCATTGCTATAGCTTAATAAAACAAATTAATAAGCACATAAATAACTCAGTACACTATGATGAGTGCTATCTGATCAAATAAACATCAATGATGATGATCAACACCCCTCTCCTGCTGTTTCAATGCCTACAACCTGTTCGTTTGGCTATGGCTTGTCGTAAACGATCGTAAATTTCCAACCGGAACAATATTTTTCTCTCACACAAACCAGCCAGCAGTACTTCTTCATGAACCAACAACGATACGAACCAGCCAACCGAACAAGCTGAGTCAATAAGTTGTCCCAAACGCAAAACCTATGCTATATATATCATCAACAGCTACACTGTTACCGGAAAGACGGGTGTCACTTTTGTGTTAGCTCTATTCTAGATTCTCAGGTGGAAACTTAATACAGTTCTAGCCAAAATTTTCTATTTTTATTACTATCTTATTAGCTGAAAGATTGAAGTTGTGCTAGAAGGTCCAATCTTCAATGCAAGTTTTAGTGCAAGCCCAATACTTTCAACTGAACTTCTAAAGTTTTATTAATCTAAAGTTTTTAATCAAAAAAAAGGAGGGAAACATGGATCATATATACTGCATGCAGTCAAATTACCTTGCCTACAAAGCCAATCTTTTGTTAAAATCATCCCTTAACAATTAATGGTATTATCTATTAAGGACGACTTGGATCATTTAAAATGTGACTTATTATTATATATAACCTCAGATGTGTGAAAGTGTAATGCAAGAGCTAGCTAGTCTAATAACCAGGATTATCCCCTTTGTTTCAATTAGCTAGCTAGGGTTAAGTTGTAGTTGTTGCAAATAAAAGGCCTAAAGCCCTAGATCAATCAACATGTAGATAGCAAAAAGCAGCAATGACTGTGCAAATCTCTCAGCAATCTTCTTGGTGGCAGTGGCACGCCATAGCATATAATTAACAAGAATTGACAGTCTGATCCTTTTGTGATTTAATCGGACCCACAGCTAATCATCACTCCCATCAGCACAATCATAGATTAATCCAACGAGCAAACTAAAATAATCCTTGAAGAATAAACTAAGAAGCAATCAATGGAGGATCAACTCATCACAAGAGCAGTAGCAATCACCTAATCAAGT